CCCCCCCCGGTGGGGGACCCCCGGGGCGTGCCCCCGGGGTAGGGGGGCCCGAGACTTCCCCTCTTCGCTGGGAGGGGTCAGGGCTGGCGGGGACCCCCTGCACGCCCCCGGATCCCCATCCCTTGGCTGGGGGCTCCCCGGGACCCCTGGCCCCCCGAGCGAGCCCGCGGCTCTTGCCCACCCCCAGCCCCGCTGAGCGCCGGACCCCCGCACCCCACGGGACCCCCCGGACCCCCGCAAACCCTCCTCGAACCCCCTGGACCCACCACCATGCAGGACAGCGTCGACCCCCACTGTGCCCTGGGTACGTGCTGGGGGTCCTGGGCGTCCCGGGGATCCCAACCCCCTGAGGGGGGCTCAGGGGGATCCCCAGTTCGGGTCTAGGGGTCTCAGCCGGTGCTACCCCCCACCCCCCGCAGGTCTCGCCGTGGCCAAGGTGGAGCTGGAGGAGATGGAGGCACCAGGATGTGCCAGCTCAGGTGGGCACTGGGGCCCTGGGGGGTGTCAGGAGGGCACCAGGGTGGTCCCGGTGTACTTGGGGCCACCCTGGAGCAGGGGGGAGACCTGGCTGTGCCCCTTGTCCCCTCAGTGTGGCCGGTGGTCCCCAAGGTGGAGGTGACCCCTGAAGGCGATGAGGACAATCTGGAGGACCCGGAGCTCCACGGCTCAGGTGAGGAACACGGCTGTGACACCGGCACTGCCGGGGGTCCCCTGGGAACACCGGGGCCACACGGTCACTGTCACCCTGTCCTGGGGCTGCTGGCAGTGCTGGGTCCTCGGGTGGTGTGTCCCTGGTGCCACTGGCCTTGATGGTCACTATGTCCCAGGGCCGGTGGCAGCTCCAGGCCCTTGGGTGACAGTCACTGTGTCCGTGGGCCAGTGGCAGCTCTAAGTCCTTGGGGTGACAGTCACCATGTCCTAGTGCTGGTGGCCGTGCCGGGACATCCCATCCCTGGCATGTCTCCCCCCCCGTGTCCCCGCAGAGCACTGGCTGGTGCGGAAGGTGAAGGTGGAGGAGGAGGAGGAGGACGAGGCCTGGGCAGCCGGAGCCGAGGCCCCGCTGGCTCCGCAGCCCCTTCCCGGCGCCGTCCCCCCCGATCCCGCCGGGACGCCAGGAATTGCCGGCGCCTGCAAAGTGGAGGAGCCGTGCCCGGAGGAGCTGGGGTACGGGGTGCTGCCAACCTGGGGGCTGGGGCAGCGCCTGGATGGCACCGGGATCGGGATTGGCTTCGGCGCCAGGATCGAGACCGGCCCCGGGATCGGGCTGGGCCCCGGGACGAGCCCTGACCCCATGGAGCACGAGCGCCGCTCCCAGCCCGCCCCGCGGCCCTTCTCCTGCTCCCAGTGCGGGAAGGCCTTCGGGAAGAAGGCTCACCTGACGCGGCACCTGCGGGTGCACACGGGCGAGCGCCCCTTCCCCTGCCCCCACTGCGGGCGCCGCTTCCGCCAGCGCATCCACCTGCGCTCCCACCTGCGGACGCACACCGGGGAGCGGCCCTACCCCTGCCCGCGCTGCGCCCGCCGCTTCCGCAAGAAAACCCACCTGGACCGGCACCTGCGCACCCACACCGGGGAGCGGCCCCACCCCTGCCCGCGCTGCGCCCGCCGCTTCGCCCACCGCCAGCACCTCCTGCGCCACCTGCGCCTGCACGCGGAGCCCGCCCAGGGCCACCGAGACGGGCACGGGCACGGGGAGGTGCCCCCCGAGGAGAAGCCGCCGCCCTGCCCGGGGTGCGAGATGAGCCTCGCCTGGAAGCAGAGCCCGGCGTCGCGCCCGCCGCTGCACCCGGGGGACGGGAACGGACACCTGGATGGGCACCGGGATGAGGATGGGGATGTCCCCGCCGAGGAGAAGCCCCTCCCTTGCCCCCAGTGCGGGACGAGCCTCGGCTGGAAGCAGAGCCCGGCGCCGCACCTGTGGCAGCACCTGGAGATCCGACCCCCGGGCTGTGCCGAGTGCGGCCACGGCCGCGCCCAGGACCCCCAGCACCCACTGCAGGTGCCCGGTGCCAAGTGTGGCCGTGGCTGCACCCAGGACCCCCGGCACCCGCCACAGGCGCCCGGCGCCCGGGACCCCCAGCACCTCCTGCAGCCCCCACAGGTGCCCGGTGTCCAGGACCCCCAGCGCCTGTCGCAGGTGCCCGGCGCCGAGCACCCCTTCACCCAGCACGCGTCCCAGGCGCCCCCCGCCCAGCGCCCCTTCGCCCAGGACCCCCGGCCCGCCCCGCAGGCGCCCCCCGCCCAGCGCCCCTTCTCCTGCCCGCAGTGCGGGCGCGGTTTCGGGCGCAAGGCGCACCTGGCGCGGCACCTGCTGGTGCACTCGGGCACCCGCCCCCACGCCTGTGCCCGCTGCGGGCGCCGCTTCAGCTCCAAGACCAACCTGGACCGGCACGAGGCCGTGCACACGGGGCTGCGGCCCCACCACTGCGCCCGCTGCGGCCGCGGCTTCACCCGCAAGACTCACCTGGAGCGCCACGAGCGCACCCACAGCCGCGCCAAAACCGGGGCGGGCACCGCTGGCACGGGGACTGGCACCGCCACCGGCGCTGGGATGGGCGCGGGGACTGGCACTGGCATCGCCGGGCCCCAGCTGGCCTGGCCAGAGCCCCCCACCCTCTGCCCCTGAGTGCCAGGATGTGCCGGGGGGCCTGGTGGCTGCCAGTGCCACATCCTGAGCGCTGGGATGTGCTGGGAGGTGCCAGGGGTTCCGGTGGCTGCCAGTAGCGCATCCCGAGCACTGGGATGTGCCAGGGGTCCTTACGGCTGCCAGTGATGTGTCCTCGGTACCAGGAGGTGCCAGAGTCTCCAGCAGATGCCAAGAGCTGAATCCTGGGCACTGGGATGTTACCAGGATGCGCCAGGAGCTTCTGTGGCTTCCAGCAGCGCATCCTGAGTACCAGGATGTGCTGGGAGATGGCAGGGGCTCTGAGGACTGCCAGCGGTGAGTCCTGGCACTGGGATGTGCCAGGGACCTGGTAGCTGCCAGTGGTGCAACCTGAGCACTGGGGCGTGCCTGGTTCCCCCGTGACTGCCAGTGCTGCGTCCTTGGCACCCTCCTCTGGGATGTGCCAGGAGGTGCCAAGGACTTCGGCGGCTTCCAGCCCCGCACCCCGAGCACCAGGATGTGCCGGGATGTGCCAGGACGTGCCGGTGGCTCCAGCCGCTGCCGGGTGGTGATTCCTGGGCACTGTGGTGTGCCAGGATGTGCCTGGGGACCTGGTGTTT